GGGAGGGTCAGAAAAAAAGAGGAAGACCCCCAACGAGATGGATTGGCCAAGTGGCACTATGGATGGAGTCAAGCATGGCAACAGTAGTGAGGTTGGTCCAGGATCAGGCAGTGTTTCGTTCTGCTGTGCATAAGGTCACTATGAGTCAGGGCCGACTTGATGGCACCTAACAACAACAACAACAACAACACCAGTCAGAACTGCCTTCTCAGCCACTGTCATCCTGCTGTATTTGATGCTGATTTTACAGCCGGATTCTGCCCGAGTTACATCCGCCCTGCCGGCCCTGTTCCATCTTCCCCAAACCTGGAATCAGAGTCAGGATATGACCGCATCACACTGTCCTCCCAGGGCACATTCATCCCAGACAAACCCATCCCAGGGGTTGAGGTAGCTTCCTCCGTACTGGCCAGATGTGCTCTGTTGAGAGCTTTTTAATGCTGTGTTACAGTGGGTGGTTCAGATGAGTTTGTCATGATTTGGAAAAGGAAAATGTGGGCTTGAGGATGCATTTGCAGTGTAAGGATACGTAAGCGGTTCTCCTGGGACTTGGACCGTGTTTGCTTGGGAGTCATTTCAGGCCTCCTGAAAGCAGCGCTGGATGTTGCTGAGTTCTTGCACTGCTGGTCCATGCCATCTACACCCTGAAGACCTGACTGAGTCATTGAGCCATCCAGAATTCTCCAGTCCCATCTAAGATGGTGTTGACACATTCCTCAGAGTTGGCTGTTCAAACCCTGATCGGGTGAAGCCCTTCCGACTAACCTATCTCTCCTGAGATGTGATTCTCTCATTCCAGCATTCTCTTTCAATACCATAATCCTGCTTCTCAGTCTTTCTACAAACAAAGCAATAGAAAATTCAAAACATATGCCCACAGCTCCTAATGCTTTTAGAATACCTTTTGGGTTTGGGGTTGGTTTGTTTCTCTAATTGTTGTTGTTAATGATGATGTTCTTGTTGACCGAGAGTGTAATGTTTTCCCCTGCCCTTGCTGCTTTTTCCCTATAAATCTCACCTCTCAGGACTCTCTGTCCCTGCCAAACACATCAATGTTGTCTGCAATTGAAACTGCATAACTTGCATGTAGCGCTTTCTTTCCAGCTTCATCATACTATCCGCCAAGATTCCCTGTCAGTGTGATTTCACTTTTCTTCCTTCTGTAATATGACTGGACACTTCTCTGCCGGCAGCACATTTACTTTTTGCCAACGTTGTTTATCAGTTGGTTACTGAAAACATTATTTGGAAATCAATCTTACCAATGACGATATGCTCAGAGTCAGAAGCAATTTACATCAGGGAAGCCCTGAGATACGGTTTGTTTTATGTAGTCTCTCACTCAAGAGACTCTGGTGCCCTTTGATTGGTGCAGGATGAGCTGGTCAGGCAGTGTTGATGGGCTGGTAAGCACTTGGTGCTTATCTGTATAGCTGGGTCAAGTGGGTTTGGTTTATTATAATCCACTCAGGTGTTACACTCACTAATCACCTGTAACAGGCACCAACAAACGGAAAGAGAAGGTATTTTGCCCAAGAGACATATTGTCTGGGAGTCAGGAAAATCTCCCCTTTGTCCCCATGGTATGAGAGAGAAATTCTACAATGTGTTCATTTGGACTTTGTTTTCTGAAGAATGCGAAGGTTGATTTGGGAGAGAGAGACGAGAGAAAAATACAAGAAACTTTTCAATACAAGAAATGCCTCTATCTCTGGATCTTGGCAATAGGGACTGTGGAAATTGGTGATGGAGGGGGGGGAGCAAGGCACTGATTTGACTAAATCAGACAAATAGGTTTGCATGATAGTGTCATTTGAAGGGAGAGATGAGAGAATAAATTGTGGGCTTCTTGCAAGATGTCATCTTTCTTTCAAAAGAAATGATGGCATTGGGAAGTCCACACTAAAATGACAGATAAAACCGATGCCGCTGCCCCAGGAAGTAAGGCTGCGGATTCCATTGCTCTCTAGATAATTACAACCTACACTGTGATGCCGGAGTCCTGGGGTGGCGCTGTGGGTTAATGTGCCACACTGCAAAGTCGGTGGTTCAAGCTCACCAGCTGCTCCTCGGAAACCCTATACAGGGTTACTATGGGTCATAGTTGACTCAAGGCACCGTGTCTACTTGTCCCATGGCTAGGAATCCAAAGGCTTTAAGTGCATGTAATGTAGGTGTAGAGTTCTGGTGTGGCACTGTGGGTTAATGCACTGGACTTCAGAGTTGGCTTAAACAGCAAGGTTGGTGGTTCAAGCTCACCAATTGCTCCTTGGAAACCCTATACTGGGTCCCTGTGGATTAGAACTGACTTGATGGTATTTAACAACCACAGCACAACAATATAGGAATGATAAGAAAACAGTTGGCATTTTTTTCATGAGAGAAGATGGAATTGTTTCTTTAATGTTAGATTGTGAAGTGGGTGAAGGTTTACAGAGCATATCTGTTTCAGAGCAAGTTGTTGTTTCATCTCGTTGATTGCAGTTCAGTGTAACATCGTTCATCTCTCTTCGTCCTTGTGCTTCCCATTGCTGTTCCTTCTCCTTTCCTGAACTTCCTGCCTTCTGAACTTTGTCCTGGGCAAATGCTGCCCTTTTGACCTCAAATGGCTGGTTGTTGGAAGGAGGGTGTACCTCCCTGGGCTGACAGTTTCTCTTATAGCCTGCCCAGTGTTTGGAACATGGACTTAGTGTGGTCATTCTAAGCTTTCAAGTATCTTACAAGTGGACAGAAGTCATTTACATTTTCTTGTTTAAAAAAAAAATCTTGGCTATTTTGTTTCCAAGATGAATGCCAGACAAGAGGTAGCAAATGCCACGTGGAACACATTGCTGGGGACCTTCTCCATTATTCCCGATCCTCCATCTTTGGCAATTGGGTTTGTTTTCTTTGCCGAAACTTCCTCTAGTGTGTGAGCTGCGTCAAAACACAGCCCTGAGCCCCATGCTGGTTTCCCTGCTTCTGAGAGGACTTAAGCTTTGTCCCACCTTTGAGGGGATGGCTTTTTTTTATTGTGAATTGAGTGAAGGTTTACAGAAAAGGTCATCAGTTTTACGTTACGTTCAACACATCATACACTTGGTTTCATCTCAGTGACTGTAATCCTTCCATGCAACAACAGTGATCCTGCTTCCTCCCTATGGTTACCCATGTACAAATATCCTCTTTCAAACTCTTATATGTTTGTGGGGCATAGATTAGATAGATAGATAGATAGATAGATAGGTAGATAGGTAGATAGATAGGTAGATAAATAGATGGATGTGTGTGTGTGTTTGTGTATGTGTATCCCACTCTTCCGTGGAGTGGTTGGTGGGTTCAAGCCACAGACCTTTTAATAATCGGCCAAGTGCATTAACCTCCACACCACCCAAGTATCAAATAGGGTTAATGTCAATGCAAAGTAAAGTTCTACACTGAACGCCACCCTGCCCACCCCCTCACCTCCCTGATTGGTAGATGTAGAAGAGGAGCAGAGCAGACTATGGAAGGATGAATTCCTAGTCCTAGGAGCTGAGGTGTCGGGGTGCAACCACATTGTAAAGACAAAGGGATCAAAGGGATGTGGACCTAGGAGCACTGAGATGCTTAGTATGTTTGCTGGTTACTGAGGATACAGGGTAAAGAAAGATGATGTTCTTGCTTCTGGGAAGGAAGGGGGGGGGGGTGTCTTAAGTTCATGGTCACCTTGGAAGGCATTGCCAGCAGGGCAGGGCAGAGCTTGGGCTTTGGGAGGTCAGCTTTAGAATGCGAGGAAACATCCAAACTGCATCAATGTGGTGAGAAAGCACAGGGTGTGGTTCAATCTCAGGAAGGTTGAAAGTTTTCTCACAGCATCAACAGAAATCACTGTGCACTCAAAGCTCCAGGCCCTACACAGTTTTGGCAGTGATTACCCCAACCACCTGTTCTCTCTCTGGTTGGAAGGTAAGCTGCCCGTGGTCCTTTCTGAGCTTCCTGCCTGCCTGCCCTCCCCTTCTGATGCAGACTGTCATTGATGCAAAATGACCTTCAGGTGTTATGGTTCCAAAATTGATCTCTGCCGTGCAAAAGCCGCATCCGTTGAAACTAGTGTTCACTTCTCTGGGTAACGTCATGGACCTGAACAGCTCCCTGTGCAAGCTCACTGGCTTACTCTTCTCTGCTCCCTCTCTTCTCTCCTCCACTCCTTGTCCTACCTCTCTCCCCCTTTTCACTCTTTCCCCTCTCTGCCCTCACTCCCTCTCTCCCATCTCTCTCATGTCTGCTCCAAATTACTCCACTGGTCATCATTCCTTTTTGGAGCTGGATTTAGCTTGCATTTTCTCACCAGAATTGTGTGGGCTGTCGTGAAAGAAAGCAGGCTCTTCTTCCCCTGCAGTCAGCCAGCTGATATCTTTCAGTTGGGTTGGGATTGGCCCCGCTATTGAGCCTTACCTTCCAAGAGGCTGGACTTGTGACAACTCCAGATAGAAGACCTAGAGAAGGGGGTGGACCTGACGGGCTCACTTTGTCGTGAGCTGTTGACACTCGGGGCTTCCACTAACCAGCTCACAGCATGTGTCAGCCGCAACACCAGGCTCCCCATCCGTGGACCTTAAGCCAAGAGTCTGGTGCGGCCCACAGGAAAACATGAGCCACACGTGCAGAGATGAAAGGGCTGTTTATTTCTGTTCCAGGTGCTAAACCTGCTCCTGGGATTTGCTTTGAAAGAGTCAACTCTGCAGGGGACCCCTATGGCAACTGCGGCAAAGATTCCAAAAGCTCTTTTGCCAAGTGCGAGATGAGGTACGGAACCTGTCCTTTCTGGTGACATCACCACTTGGTGCCCCCCTTCCCCAAACCTTAGAGATGGTTCCAAACACTTCCTCTTTGGGGACTGTTTGTTCTTGCCCATCCAGAGATGCTAAGTGTGGGAAAATCCAGTGCCAAGGAGGCGCCAACCGACCCGTCATTGGTACCAATGCCGTTTCCATAGAAACGAACATCCCACTGCAGGAAGGAGGCCGGATTCTGTGCCGCGGAACCCACGTGTACCTGGGAGATGACTTGCCGGACCCAGGGCTGGTGCTCGCCGGTACTAAGTGTGCCGATGGAAAAGTAAGACCCAGATGTTTGCATCATGAGTGTAAGTCTAGAAGACAGCTCATCGAGAAACGGGCTGTGCACAGACAGGGTTCCTGAATCTACCATTGTGGGCCTCCTGAATCCACTTCTCAAATGCAGTCTCTCGTCGCCAGGTCTTCACATCAGGTAGAGAAACTCTGTAAATCCTAGACCCTGGTCTGACCGTTGAGATTCTCGTCTTCTCTGCCCATTAATACTCATGCGTCATTTCTGCAGTCTGGTGTCAGTTTCCAACCAGGAAATGTCTTTGGAGGGAGCCGCGGTAGCATATTGTGTTGTTTTTGGAACAGTGGCCTGGGTTTTTTGGCACCGAGTTCTTGGGGACTTGTTCTCACCTGGACAGATTGGGAAGTCAAGTGTAGTTTCAGAGACCCGTAAATGAGAAGAAAAAGAAGCAAAGGATTGGGGATATGTCAGCCAAGGAGGGAAAAAAAGCCGGGAAAATGAGGTAGGGGTGAATAGATTATGAGATGTTGAACTCTAGAAATAATTTTTTCAAAAAGAAACAAATGTTCACATCCTGATTCTTTTCCATGAAACTTCGCACCAGACAAAATAATAGCACGTTGATCTAAAGAGCTCTGGCGGCACAGTGGTTCAGCACTCGGCTTTGGGAAAAACCAAACGGTTTTGGTTTCAAAGGTCTGTGCTTCAAACCCACCGGCTGCTCTGTGGGAGACAGATGTAGCAGACAGATGTGGCAGTCTGCTCCTATAAAGATGGCGGCCTTGGAAACCCTACGGGGCAGGTCTACGTGGTCGTATAGGGCTGCTGTGAGTCGGAATCCAGGCAACAGCAACAGGTGGGTGTTTGGTAATGAAATGTTTTAGGAAAGAAAATGGATCAGCCCCACGTGGTTTTAAACGTCCGCATAGTAAGAATGATTAGGAAATCATTCACCAACAGGGGGCCCAGAGGAGGTGCAGATACAAGTCAGCTCCCCACAGTAGAGCTCATGAGCCAGGGACTCCCTGCACCTACCCCACCCACACCCTGGACACCCACGCTTTCTCCTGAGGAAACAGGCCAGTCCATGAAAGGTGCCGTGTGTCCTTGTTGTCTCCTTCAACCACATTCTACTTTGGCCTTCACACCCGAGTTTGCTTCACACTCAAACTTCTGTCTGAGCACTCCAGGTCAGGCGCCACGCACATCGAACTTCCCAGGACTCAGTATTGGTGAGTTTTATAAGCTCACCGGCGGCTCCTTGGAAACCCTATAGAGAGTCACTGTGGGGTCGGGATCGACTTGGAGCCCTGGGGCCTGCTGGGTTCCCAGCCATCCCGGACACGATGTCTTTACCAGCTGGAATGTGATAGCCCCTTGTTCGGGAGTCCTCTGGGTGCTTCGAGCTGCTTAGTGTTGTTGCTAACTGTTGGGTGCCTTCGAGTCACTTCAGATGCATGGCAGCCCCACAGGATGAAATAGGACTGCCCGCTGTTGTTGTTACATTTACGGGAGCAAGTCTTTCTCCTGCAGAGCTGTTGGGTGGGCTTGAACCACCAACCTTGCAGTTAGCAGCTTAGAGCTTAACCTTCGCCTCACTAGGACTGTTCTGTTCAGAGGGTGCTCTTCTAACAGTATAGGAACTGTGGGGATCGGAGGGCGAAACGCCCAATGAAGCGTTTGCCTGATGCAGAATGCCTCTGCATTCTAAACATTAGACTTTTCTTCTTTGCCTCTGTTAATTTGTAACAGCTTGTGGGAGATAAAAGGCCTGATCCCTTCAGTCTGGAGTATATTCTGTTCCTTGAAAGTAGGCGGACGGCTTTCTACCAGCAGTATCATTTAGCAAACGACTGCCTTTGCATGCAAACTCCTGATAAGTACAGAGCTGTCTGTCAGTGTCTGCCGAGTAAATCTATGAACGGTTTGTGTTATCAGTGATGTTCCGTGTAAATCAGTGTTTGGAAAACCTTCCTATGTTTCAGTATTTCGCTTAGGAGATTCTTGGTCCCTTGGTTTCTTGGTGTCCCTGAGTCTACACAGGCCCCAACTTGCCGCTTCCGCATCTTTTGTTGTAACCTATGTAACATACCAAACCATGGCCCTGTCCTGCCTCATCAATCTTGGTGAGCTTCTGTATAATATACCAAGCTTTTGCCATGTGCTATACCATCTTCATGTTTCCTCCAACCTAGGGGGCTTGTCTTCCATCCATATGTATCAGACAATTAGCTTCTGCTCAGATTCACAGGATTTCATTGGTTAATTTCTGCTCAGATTCACAGGATTTCATTGGTTAATTTCTGCTCAGATACACTAGGTTTCATTGGCTAATTTCAGCTCAGATACACAGGGTTTCATTGGCTCATTTCAGCTCAGATACACAGGGTTTCATTGGCTCATTTCAGCTCAGATACACAGGGCTTCATTGGATAATTTCTATTCAGATATACAGGGTTTCATTGGCTAATTTCTATTCAGATACACAGGGCTTCATTGGCTAATTTCTGCTCAGATACACAGGGTTTTATTGGCTAATTTCTATTCAGATATACAAGGCTTCATTGGCTAATTTCTGTTCAGATACACAGGGTTTCATTGGCTAATTTCTGCTCAGATACACAGGG